GGGCCCCCAGGTGGGGCGACAGGCATCGGGCCCCCAGGCGGAGCGGCGGGCAGCGGGCTCCCAGGAGGGGCAGCAGACACCGGGGGCCCCCAGGCGGGACACCGGGCCCCCAGGCGGGGCGACAGGCATCGGGCCCCCAGGCAGAGCGGCAGACACCGGGCCCCCAGGCGGAGCGGCGGGCACCGGGTCATCAGGCACCACAACGGGCATCGGGTCACCAGGCATCAGGTCATTTGGCTCGCCAGTGGGCACCGCGTCATCTGGCAAGGCAGTGGGGCACCGAGTCACCAGGCACGACAGTGGGCTCCGAGTCAACTGGCATGACCGCGGGCACTGGGTCAGACATTGGATCGTCTGGCCCGACAGCGGGCATCAGGTCACCAGGCATGACAGCGGGTACTGGGTCATCAGGCATGGGATTGTCTGGCTCGACAGCGGGCATCGGGTCACCAGGTATGACAGCGGGCACTGGGTCACCAGGCATCAGGTCATTTGGCTCGCCAGCGGGCACCGCGTCATCTGGCAAGGCAATGGGCACCGAGTCACCAGGCACGACAGTGGGGTCTGAGTCAATTGGCACGACAGCGGGCATCGGGTCACCAGGCATGACAGTGGGCACTGGGTCACCAGGCATCAGGTCATTTGGCTCGCCAGCGGGCACCGCGTCATCTGGTAAGGCAGTGGGCACCGAGTCACCAGGCACGGCAGTAGGCTCCGAGTCAACTGGCATGACCGTGGGCACTGGGTCAGACATTGGATCGTCTGGCCCGACAGCGGGCATCGGGTCACCAGGCATGACAACGGGCACTGGGTCATCAGGCATGGGATTGTCTGGCTCGACAGCGGGCATCGGTTCACCAGGTATGACAGCGGGCACTGGGTCACTAGGCATCAGGTCATTTGGCTCGCCAGCGGACACCGCGTCAACTGGCGGAACAGCGGGCATCGAGTCAACTGGCGGAACAGCGGGCTTCGAGTCAACTGGCGGAACAGCGGGCACCGAGTCGTCTGGCAAGACTGCGGGCACCGAGTCGACTGGCGGAAACAGCGGGCATCGAGTCGACTGGTGGAACAGCGGGCACCGAGTCGTCTGGCAAGACTGCGGGCACCGAGTCGTCTGGCGGAACAGCGGGCACCGAGTCGTCTGACGGAACAGCGGGCATCGAGTCAACTGGCTGAACAGCGGGCATCGAGTAGTCTGGCGGAACTGCGGGCACCGAGTCAACTGGCGGAACTGCGGGCACCGAGTCGTCTGGCAAGACTGCGGGCACCGAGTCGCCTGGCAAGACTGCGGGCACCGAGTCGACTGGCAAGACTGCGGGCACCGAGTCGTCTGGCAAGACTGCGGGCACCGAGTCAACTGGCGGAACAGCGGGCACTGAGTCAACTGGCGGAACAGCGGGCATCGAGTCAACTGGCGGAACAGCGGGCATCGAGTCAACTGGCGGAACAGCGGGCATCGAGTCGTCTGGCAAGACTGCGGGCACCGAGTCAACTGGCGGAACAGCGGGCACCGAGTCGTCTGGCATAATAGGATCATCAGGCTGGATCAGTTCATCAGGCTGGGTAGAAACATCATGCTGGGTAGAGGCATCAGGCTGAATGGAGGCATCAGGCTGAATGGAGGCATCAGGCTGGGTGGAAGCATCAGGCTGGGTGGAGGCATCAGGCTGAATTGTGGGCGCCGAAGCACCAGGCTGCACCACGGAAGGCAGGTTCTCAGATGGGAGGCTGACCGGTTTGGATACTGGCAGGATGGTATTGGTTGGAAAGAACTTTCGCCTTTTCCTGGTTTTAGTTACCGGAGTACTGTAAGTAAGCGCAGGTTTGTAAATGGATGGAGCAGCTGGAGACAGAGAAGAGCTGGAGGATGGAACAGGGGAGGGAACAGTTGCTACAGAGGGCTTCTTTACAGGGTTAAAGGCAGGATAGGTGCAGCGAGTGGGAACTGGGTACTGACATGCGGTAGATAGCAGGGTATACTGGGCTGTAACTGGAGGTGCTGTCGGGAGTGCAGGAAGAGAGCTTTGAAGAAATAGATTAGAAGCAGGACTGGGTTTTTGCAAGCTGACTGAGGCTGGGTGCAACAAGTCTGACCATGTCTGCAGTATGGGTTGAACAAAGCTCAGCTTACACAAAGCCTGTCTGACCAAAGACTGCACTGCGTTTATACAATCCCTTAATACCTGTGGTGAACATGCAGCATAATGTTCCAAGAAGCAATCCACATCATCCTCTAATAACCATACCAGGGACTCTACCTGGTCTGCACTAAATGGTGGCAAAAAGTCATTCCTGCTTTCAGGGGTACCAGATGAAGCCAACTCTACACAAACCTGAATCAAAGGTTGCACCTCAGAGAACTCTGTGCCCTGATCTACTAGAACATGAGCGATCCGTATACATTCTAGCAGTTGATCCCGGGTATACTCCCTCAGAACCTGATAGGCATACTCCCTGTCATCAAAAACCAGCAGCGACAAATACACAACCTTATCCAGATCCATCCTTCCCAGCAACAAGCCAAGATGGCTTCCCTGTGCAGCCACTTCTGGTCAGGATTGGCCTTGGTGTAATGTCAGGGCTCCAAGGTGTGACCAGAGGTATGTGACTGACGCAGGGAAACGCAGGCTTCAGATATGTTATAAACAATAAGACAATTTATTAAAGACTAACAATACAAACATAAACGCAGTGCAATACTAAAACATAACACAGTGCAAACGAACCAAACCACCCACAAATAACAATAGATACAATGCAAGCGTCGTCAGGCAGGACGGGTCAATAACAATCGGGCAGGTAGGAACAGGGGGTCAGGCAGAGAGAATGGTCGGGGTCACAAGCCAGGGATGAAACAGGAGAAGTCAGCAGAGGTCCAGAATCAGGCAGGGTCAGCAACGAATCAGATAGAGACAGGAACAGGAACAGGAATGCAGGAACAAGATACAGGGCCCAGGAAAAACACACACCAAGGCAGAGACTGCAGGTCTGGCCATCCCTTAAATACACCTGCATGATCAGTTTCAGATGTTTGGCTGGCTGCAGGGTTGAGTCTCTGATTGCCGGGAGCACCCGCTGGCCAGCCCTGGTACTGCAGCCCACAAGGCAAGTGAGTCCCACCATTACTGGCAAGTCCATTCCTGACATACAGTCACTAAACAGATTTTAGAGCATGATCGCGCACTCTTGCCTTGTCCACATACTTTAATGCAATTCGACATTACTGAAGAGAGTGGGGTCTCTTGTTGCTCCCTGCCCTGATCTTTCATGGGTTCTACAGTCTCTAGTGCTGCAGGAGCAGGGCCAGGGTGCAAAGCTGCAATATGTCTCTCACTGCCACATTCTGTACATTCCACTGATATTTTACAGTCTTTGGCAATGTGGTAAGTAGATCCGCAGCACTTAAAACAGATGCCGTTTTGTTTAAGGAAGGACATCCGCTCTGCAATAGGTTTGCTTCTAAAGCCTTTGCATTTCTTTAGTGGATGTGGTTTTTTGTGTATTGGGCAATGTCTATCTGGGTTTTCTATTGTATGTACCTTATGGGTGCTTTGACAGTCTGTGACTTCTGAAGGTACAACTGTTTTGTGTGTGGATACAGAAGTCTTACCGTGAGGTCTGTGAGGTCTTTGCGATTGATTGCTGCTGGTGGTGAAGGCGAAACTGGAATCATTTCGGATTTTCGCTTGCTGTCGGACAAACCTAGAGAACACAGAGAAAGGCGGAAAGGCGATTCCATAATATCTTCTTTGAATTTACCTCCCACAGACATCCACTTGTCTTGCAGATTTGAAGGTAGTTTCTCTACTATGGGATTAGTGCCTCTGGCCGTATCTAGATATGAAAGGGATGGCAAGTGGCCATCCTCTTTGGCATATTCTATCTCTAGCAGAAGATCACTCAGTTCTTGTAGCCACACGTTGTCACTGTAGCCCACCTTAGGAAAGACTTCAAGTTTTTTCAATAGTGCTCCTTCAATTACCTCTGGGGATCCATACGTTTCTTCTAGTCTTTTCCAGGTCATGTTGAGTCCTGCTGCAGGGTTGAACAGGTTTGCTCTTCTCATCCTCTTTGCATGCTCTGCTGACTCGGTACCAAGCCATTTTATCATTAAATCAAGCATTTCTGCTGGCGATAAGTTCAGACCTCTAGTGGCATTCAGAAATGAAGCTTTCCATGCCCAATAGTTTTCAGGACAGTCATCGAATTGGAGAAAGCCTGAGCTGACCATTTCTTTGCGGATGAGATATTTGGTGACATCCACTGCACATTGTTGCTCGCACATGTAATCTTTAGGTTGAGGTGGTGGGAACACTTGTTTTTTGTTCCTAGGGGATTCTGGTGCTTCATTCTTGGTTTGCTGGCGGCCACTGACCTCTTGTGGTTGATTGGGCCTGCCCAGGGGGTCTGTAGATCTTGGCCTGAATTCCGTAGCTTCAGGTTTAAGAGACTGTTCCTTTGTATGTACATTAGTAAGGTTCTGGACGTACTCGCTTGTACGATCTGCAGAGGATAGAGGTTTTTCTGGAACCTTTGGGTCTTTATATGATTTTTCACTTCCTGACCGGCTTGTTCCCATGTAGGCAGCGGCCTCTGCTCCAGCGACTGCAGCTGCAGTCTGTCGCTGCAGGATAAACAATTTTGATTCTAATTCCGCCTCTTCTTGTGCTATGACAGCTTTCTCCTGCATCATCATGGCTTTCTTAGCTGCTATCTGCTGCATCATGGCTTCTTTTTCTGCTGTGGCAGCTTTCTTAGTTGCTATCTCCTGCATCATCATGGCTTCTTTAGCTGCTATCTCCTGCATCATCATGGCTTCTTTTTCTGCTGTGGCAGCTTTCTTAGCTGCTATCTCCTGCATCATCATGGCTTCTTTTTCTGCATACTGTAGCTGGACACGGGCAGCTACTGCCTTGGCACGAGCTCTAACTGCTGAGGAACTTGCTGAGGACATCTTGCTAGATCGTGAAGATCTGGACACATGTGACTGTGCATCGTCTTGCTGGGCGCTGGGGACATTATCCCTACCTCGCTGTGTCGGCGGTAGTGTGTCATCAGCCTGGTACTTTGTTCCTGATCTTAGACTCATGCTGCAGTAATGGTGTCTCCGTTTATTCCAGACCGCCACGTGGGTGTCCTTTTACTGTTCTGCTTCGTGTTATTGAACTGTTGTAGAACACTAGTCAGACAGTCTAACAATAATTCAGAATTCAAGAAACGTGAGACATCAAATCTGTATGTATTCTTTGTTCTAAATAACTTTGTAAAACTACAACATAAGCACATACAAAACATATGTGTCAGTACATTAAACATTATACAACAGCTTCATCCCATCAGTGAGTGTACTCACGGACAATTCCACCATAAGTCCAGGAATAGCTTGGAGCTTCACTGTATGCTACTTGCTAGTTTCAGAAGCAGTCACGAAATGGAGGACAGGAACTTCCAGGTTAGAGGTTATTGCCTCTATATGAAAATTACCACTTCCTATAAATCCTGCTATAACTAGGCATAATAACTCTATTATAACATTATAATAATAACCAATAGACGGCAGCAACATCACATAACATTATAGTATATTACATATATTATTTTCAACAATATGGGCAGAACAATCTGAAGCACTATAGGTTGCTACTAACCTCCCAAAATTTTGTTTTATTTATAAATCATATATTGTATGATCCCATATAGATATTAACATATTATATCTTTGATTGTGTGTACGAATATATATTCATCACCAGTATTTTGCGTTGTATTAATATACCGTATTTGCCGGCGTATAAGACTGGGCGTATAAGACGACCCCCTACTTTTCCTGCTAAAATGTAGTGTTTGGGCTATACTCGCCGTATAAGACTACCCCTCTTCCAGTGCACACCAGTGGGAGGAATAGTGCCCCATCATCGGTGTCAGTGGGAGGAATAGTGCCCCATCATTGGCATTAGTGGCAGGAATAGTGCCCCATCATTAGTATCAGTGGGGGGAATAGGTGCCCCATCATTGGTATCAGTGGCAGGAATAGTGCCCCATCATTAGTATCAGTGGGGGGAATAGGTGCCCCATCATTGGTATCAGTGGCCGAACTGAAGGAGCAGCCGCGCTTCCTGGACCGGATCGTCGTGGGACCAGAGCCAGGTAAGAAACAGCCCCTGCCCACCCCTGTACTTAGTGTCCCTTCCGTTGGAAGGGGGGGCGACCTAAAAAGTGTCAGTATGCCGTATACCGACTTTTGATGACCTCCAACTTTTGAAAAGATTTTCAAGGGGTAAAAAGTCGTCTTATACGCCGGAAAATACGGTATATATAAATTTTGTACATAAATTTATTTATTTATTGATCAAAAAGGCAAATTTTGTGTATATGGTATGAAATCATATTGGTAAAAGAACTCAAGGTATATTATTAAATTATTAAGGTGATAAAATTATTAAGGTGTCCAAAATATTGGTTTCTTAAATATTTGCCGTATTTTAACGGCTGGAGGCGCTGCGATATTTTGTTTAAGGGAGAGGACACTGCCCTGAGTATTTAGAATAAATTCTTACAAAAACCACCACAATGTTAAACCCATATTTTGGCTGTAACATGACACAAATATGACCCACCTAACTCCAAACCACCCCCCCCCCCTGCCCCCCCTATGACAGAGGGCAGGGGTTTCTAT